GCCCCCCAAGATGTCGGTTCGCGTGCGGGCCCGATAGGCGTATTACCGCGCGTACCCCGTATGCTACAGGGAACGAGAAACGCCCTCGGCTGGTTCACCTCTGCGATTGCAACCGAGTAACTTTCGTACTGTGGACTTGTAGCTCGGCGGGAATACGCCCACCGAAGGGAGGTGACAGCTCCCGTAAGGTGGAGGTGAGTTGTGCCTCGCGTAGGCCCTATCCTGTCGTAGGGGCTCGCGAGAAGTATGGCTGGCGCACTCGGCCGGAGCGGCCTAAGGAAGCTCCATTTGTATGTTCGCGGCAAGGTTGGTCCAACTCCTGCGTGACGCGGCCGAGAGGGTCCCGCGTTGCCGCGTGCGGTGTCGGACCGATGCGCTCGACAGCGTTTGTGGTATAATGTTTTTGATAGATTTAATGCATTTTATGAATTTAAACTACCGTTTCCCATAGCAGTTGAAAAATGACATGACTATAATTGTTCCTCGATGTAAGGTGAGGGAGGTCTTTCGACCCACTGACCCTAGTGAGGCGGTGTTGGCGGCAAAAAAATTAAGCGCAAACATGAGAAAAAGTCTTATAAGTTGGGTTATGTTCTCTTTAAAACATATATATATACAGGGTTACCAGCCCGTACGTACGGAGGCTCCCGGGGGGACCTCCGTACGTTCGGGCGTTCGGGGTCCCGTACGGGGCCCGAACCCGATGACGTTCGGCCCCCGACAAAAATTATTTTGGGGCCTAAAAATATATATTTTTTCTTCTGAATTTTTTTTTGTGCGTTCTCTATGACGTGAGGTACATGCCTAAAAATTTTCAAGTCATTTGGCTTAGCCAAAAAAAAATTAAAAATCACCAAAGATGGCGGTGTTAAAACGTGCTCACCCACGTTTTTTTTCACTTTTGACTTTTTGTTTTCACTTTAGTTCGGGGTCTAGACAATTTTATTATTTTTTGAAACTTTTTTAGTGGGTTTTGTGTTATGTAAAGTACACATCTGTAAATTTTCAAGGCATTTAGCTATGCCTAAAAACAATGAAAAATCGCGAAAGATGGCGGTGTTGAAAACATGCTCGCGCACTCACTAAATTTAATTCTCTTTTTATTTTTTTTTATTTTTATTATTACTATTTGTTTTGTGTATTTTATTTTTATTTCAAATTTGGTAAGAAATTTGGACGTAATGCTCATGAAAATCTTGTTTAATGTATTTTTTGATGACTTTTTTTTTTTTTTTTTTTTTTTTTTGGTCTGCGTTCGGCCTGAACGACCGAACGTATCCCCAAGGGGTCCCATACTTTTGGGCGTTCGGGTTCGGGCGTTCGGCCTATCCCGAACGCCGGTTACCCTGTATATATATGCCCGGTAAACGATAGGCAGAGAGGAAGAAGAGGACAATAAACGAGGGGCTGTATATATATATATATAATGATTATTAAAAATATATACAAAAAGGAATAGTGTTTTTTTTTTTTTTTTTTTTTTTTGCTACCTTTTGGTACCAAGAGGACTAAATATATGTATACATGTATGTATATATGTATATATCGTTTAATGCAACAGCTCTAGAGGGTGGTTGGGGTGCTGATAAAAGCACACACCACTACCTTTTTACCCCGAAAAAACGTACGTATTTTGTATTTGAATACAATGTACATACGTTGTGCAACGAATTTGAGGTATGACTTTTCCAGGGCCGCCCTTTACGGGGTACGTTGTGTTTGAATTTTGGGTTATGAGAGGGTGACTTTTGAATGTATGAGAGGACTTCGGCCTCATCTCTTTGAGTGGAAATATATGCTGCTCTCGGTGGGAAAAATAAAAAATAAAAAATGATAACAAACCCGAATGTTGTATTTTATTTGCCCTCCCCCTTTTCAAATTTGGCAGTAAATTTTAACAAAACTCTCAGGCAAAATATGTTTGTATTGCATTGTTCTTCGACATATTTGTTTTTTGAATTTTTTGAACGTTTTTTAAAATAGTGAAAATGTATCAAATGTCATAGACTTCGAATATAACGTACATATGTTGTATTCATATACGACGTACGTATGTTGTATTTGACCGGTACATTATATTCGAAAAAAAAAATAAATTATAAAAGTTCGATTTTCAAAGGTAATTCGAATAGAACGTACGTATGATTTTTGGGGGGTCAGAAGGTAGCACTCCAAGGGAGGCTCCATCTATTGATGGGGAGCATCACCTGCTGGAAAGCGTTCCCAGCGTTCCTAAACATTGAGTGATTTGTTCGAAAAGACATGCAATTTTATGTTTTTTGTTTCCTGACTATGCCACCAATCGCTCTGCTGGTAGGACCACATATGCCTGTTTTATTAACCGTTGCATGGGTATAGCATTCAACATGGGCTTTGAAACCAAAGGTCTAGCAAAGCGTGAACTTTATAGGGTACATTTTTTGTGGTATCCACTCCGGGTTCCAACGGAGTTATCCCTTCAAGCTATGTAGACACTGTAGAGTAAAGCTAACTTAGGCTAAGTAAATACCTAGACACATTCCTCTTCACTATTGGAGTAGCAAGTACTTCCTTACTACCAGACCACCTTTAATCCTCAATGGAACGACGCCCTTAGGTAATTCGGAGTTATGTCATGAACTTTATTCTCGTCTTGGTTTTCGACTCATAACTTTTTTGTAGATAGTCGATGGGTTTACCGTTATGAGATATGTGGCCGAATGTAGGCTAGGATGCAATCAGAGTTATTCATTCACCTCCACATGGGCTGGATGTGGGTTGGGGTGCAATTCAGAGTTATTTCATTTGCCTGACTCCTGGCAGGACTCGAACTCATAACTGTTTGTCTGCAGTCCGATGGGTGTACCATCCCTGTTAGCCAAATGAACGGGGATGCGTGTATCATTCAGCCACATGGAGTGGGACACATTTCTTGCAATTCAAAGTTTTCTTTGGAGGTTTCCGAAGTTTAAACCACCAGTTCCTCCGAGCCAGTTTTTGCCGACCATGAATTTCACTGCGCTTCGAGTTTTGTCGAGCCTGGGTACCAGTCCGTTTTCTTTTTGGTACTCTCACGGAAAGAACAAAAAAAAACAAAAGAGAAGAAAAAAAGTTGCGGTCGTGAACCTCAGGAAAGAAAAAGAAAAAAGAAAAAAAAGAAACAAAGTTTTGATCATGATTGTAGTTGTATACATTCTTGGAAGTGGTAGTGTGAGTATGCCCTCAATGAGGGCATCTCAGCCTCGTGGCCATGTTGTCAGATTCCAAAAAGAGAATAAAAAGGAAAAAAAAACGGGCACATGGATCCGGCCGTGAAAATGGTTGGATACATTCTCCTAAGTGTCAGTGTGATGAGTCTTCCAATCCTTTGAGAAACACAGCTTGAGCAGATCACGGACAGCTTGAGCAATTCACGGACAGGGGACTCATGAGAAACACACGACGAAGAAAAAAAAGAAAACAATAACATTTAGAATGTGACCGCCTTACCTGTAAGGTGCATTCTGTGGAGGAAGATTGTGAGCACGGCCT